AGGTTATAGAAAAGGATAACATGATCAAGTCTAATACGTCTCATTCTAAGAATTGTTAAGAAAATCTGGTGAAGGTTATGCGAATATCTGCTCTAATGAACGACAGACTTGCCGATTGACCGTTAACCATGGCTTAAAATCATTGATTTACAAATAAATGAGTACATCTTTTTTGTTTAATTTTTACTGTACACTAAAAATGGTAACATATAATTTGTCAAATTATCTTTGCACTTCTGCATTTCGAACAGATAAAAAAAATTAATGACGTAAATTCTTAAAAGTGTATTTTTTTTAATTAATTAAATCATTGCTATGATTATCGCCAATTTGTCGAGGCTGCTAATTCTTGTTTGCACGTGGACATTAAATTTTCATGCAGATACTGTTGTCTCAAAACTTTTCAGCAAAATACAATCTAAATACGAAAGCACATAACTGTTTTTACATTTTACCCATACAATCATACATCGACCCAAATATGGTGACTATGTAAGAAAAATATGCTTTATTCTGATTACCGGATTATGTAAGTAATTCGAATTCTTTTAATATAAAGTACAAACAAGTAAAGGAAGTATGTTTAGACACATTATGAATAAATAATATTTGGTGAAAAATCTAAAGGATTAAGTATCTCATCTTCCATTACAAGGCTATTATGTATTATAAAAATTTAATATTACATTATATAAGTTAATAGAATAATCCGACAGCAATAATGGCAAATCCAATGATTAAGGAAATTCCCAAGTTAAACATGGGTTCGTTATGGGTAGCGGCTCCAGTTTTTGAAGAGGTAGATGGAGCTAATGCAATTAAAAAAATTATTTAGTATAATTGTAAGATTTTACAAGCTCAATCAAATACACCGAATTTTCAAAAAAAAAATTACCTGGTCCACCCGATGTTCCACTAGCAGAAGCAGAAACACCTGAAGCACTACCGGTGGCAGCTGAAGCACTACCGGTGGCATCTGAAGCGCTACCGGTGGATTTGCTAGTCGAAGGATTTCCACCAGCAGTGAGCGTTTGACCACCAACGTAGACTGTGACTCCTGAAGGGATAGGAAGAGATTGAGTACCAGTTGTTGTGAAAGTAGTACCAAAGCCTACAACGGTGGCAGTGTAGGTGGCTATATTATAGGTAGCCAGAGAAAATATGATAAAGAGTAAAGGTATTGATTATTACTCGGTGATAAAAAGCATATGGTTGTTTTATATTGTAAATAAAAAATAAAGGGACAATCAATATATACCTCCATTTGCTGTCAATGCCAGTAAACCAACAAGAAGAGAACTTAGGAGTAATACTCGAATGTATAATTGAGACATTATGATGTTAAATGAAAATTGCAATGTTAAATGATTATGAGAAGTAATGAGAAGATAAGCGTTGGTTAAAAAATATCAGCTTCCCATTTTATAGGTGTTCTTTTGATTAATATTGGATTGTGTGTTACTAAAGTTAATCAAAAGATAATTACTGTTTATCTATGTACTTTTAATGTCGTATCTATTACTGCACAGTGCAACTTTAAATACATCCACCGCACTGCTTATATAATATATAAATTCACAAGCGTTATGTTGAACAATTATACGTAATTAATAATAACTGTCTTGATTTATTCAGTATTATTGCATTTGGCGAAACCCCTCATTTACTTTGTTGATCAATTATCTACTATTCTGTTTCGATAATGTAAAAAAATCAACCGAAATTAGTACCTACATGCATTTTTAAGAGTTCATATAAGACAATTTGGATTCATTTTAATGGGATTTTCAAAGTGAGAATATTATTTTGAGACCCTTTAAAAAATCGAATTTGCTCCCAAGTTACGCCAACTAAATTTGTGAGTTCTGTTCTACTCAATAGAATTACTTAAACAATATAACGTTATAGGTATTGTTTGTAAGTGTCATAAATCAAATTTTTTTTTTGATTAGTTAGAATTTCAACAACTTGTTTTTGGTAGAATTAGCTTTTAAATGCAAAGGCATATAAGGCAATGGCAAGAAGTATTTAAAATAACTAGCGTGTGGCGAAAACAATGCTGCAGTATATCATTGCAGGAACATAATGCAATATTTGACATAATTATCGCATGATATGACAAAATTGCAATTGGATGATCATTATTGTGCGACGCGTGAATGCATGTTCAGGAGATCCTATTTCTTTTATGTGCAAAGACACAGCTTATCAGAAAAATCGGTCAAACGTGAACTATAATAAAAAAAGTAAATTTTTTCCGGTACCCCTTAAATATTGTTACATATATAAATTTCGTGTTTATGCATGATGTTAAACAAATGTTGTACCATACTTTACTTCCAATTTTTTCTTTTAGACAATGGAAAGTATGTTCAACGGCACAGCTTCTGATATTGCATACTTAATATTCTCGCTTTATTTAGCACCTGGGTCAAGTATCCGTTTGAATTTTAATCTCTCTTTTTTAACAAAAGAAAAGCGCCAAGAATGAGTAAAATTAATTTCCGAATTCACTAAAGTTTATTAATAGGTCCTGGATCATGTGATTAACACCCATCCCTACTCATTCATACAGGGGTTTTGTAGCCTGGAACACCATGCACTAATATTGCATGAGAATTAATTTGGGTTAAAGCACTGGCGTAACGTCCATGCATTTTGCTCTATGAATTTTGTAATCCTTTTGATGGCATCTCTTAGACTCATAAACAAAACTTTTTTGTAATATAAGATTTCGGTCAAAAGTTTGAGCGACGGATAAACACAAATTTCCCATCCAAATTACGAAAAAATCGAATCGTTATCATACGCCGACGTACATTACTAACCATATGAATATAGTAACTTGTTGTTCAGGCTGTGTCACGATATTGTCTTTTTTTTATACTGTTGATCAATTCCACCCTATTTTATCATTGATGTCAAAAATACGTCTTGTGCAGATTGGAAAATACAGATCAAGTTAATATTTTGATTTGATCGGAAAACGCCTAAGCACGTGAAATCTGTCGAAGCATATATTACAAAAAAGTCCATGGTTTAAATATCATGAATTCAGAAGTGGTGCGTGCAATTCATTACTTGATTCGAATGATTTTTTTTTTTAGTTAAAGAAAATTGGCAAACGCTTAAAGTGTTATTGAACATATTTTGACATTCTGTAAAGAAGCTCAAGCATGCTTGACATTAATACGGCTAACTACACATCGAAGTGAAACTCAGATATACTGTGTATATGGAAGTAATTAATATTACAAATACAATACAAATCAATATGACAAGACTAAGTTCAAAAACGACCTGACTTATAATTTTTGCATTTTCTTTGTTTAATAAAAATATCGAAAATAACAATTTTGTTCAGTTTATTTTAAATAAAATAATTGGTGAAGAATACTACCATGGAAATAATAACAAAAAAATCAAATAATATTATGGTTTTTATTAGAAAAATAACAATTTAATTATATTTAAAACAAATAATTTATTTTAATTGAGAATTTGATTTTTTAAAAAATTTTAAATAATTAAATAATATAAATAATATATGACTGGATTTGTAAAAAAAGCATATCCATATGCAATGTGAAACCATATTTAATAATAAAGAATAAAATTATCTAAATTAAATATATCTAAATTATAATATTATTAAATTGAGATAAAAAGTCGATATTTTAAATTTTACAAATTTTGATTAATTACAAAACCAATTAATTATTAAAATTTAGATGAATATATATTAA